TAATAGGCTTATAATATGAGAGGTGCGAAGTACATTCATGTTTGAGTGGGATTTTCGTTCATTTTTAGGCTGGCACCACTTACGTGTTAGTAACCATTTGAAAGAGCATATAATTTTATACAATATATGAAATTTTAAGAAAATCCTATAGAATAGCGCGCAAGATTTTTACAATTAAACAGACAGTTGTTGAAAGCTCACATGTAATAGGCTTATAATATGAGAGGTGCGAAGTACAGTCGTGTTTGAGTGGGATTTTCGTTCATTTTACGGCTGGCACCACTTACGTGTTAGTAACCATTTGAAAGAGCATATAATTTTATACAATATATGAAATTTTAAGAAAATCCTATAGAATAGCGCGCAAGATTTTTACAATTAAACAGACAGTTGTTGAAAGCTCATATGTAATAGGCTTATAATATGAGAGGTGCGAAGTACAGTCATGTTTGAGTGGGATTTTCGTTTATTTTTAGGCTGGCACCACTTACATGTTAGTAACCATTTGAAAGAGCATATAATTTTATACTATATATGAATGTTTAAGAAAATCGTATAGAATAGGGGGCGCAAAATCTACAAAAATTAAATGCAGGAAGGTCCTCGCAACTCATATACTGTATAATTATTAACTATGGTATATCAGATGCACGTAATGCAGTCCAATTTGAGTGGGATTTTCGTTCATTTTAAGGCTTGCACCACATACTTGTAAGTAACCATGTAAAATAGCATATAATTTTGTACAAGATGTGAACGCTCAAAAAAATTGTATACAATAGAGTGGAAGTTATGGATGGTTTAAAGGGGCAATTTTTGACAGCGCACATATATCATTGACTTTGTGTATATCAGAATTAATTAGGATGAGACGGGCAAAAATAGTCAAATTTTGAGACGGATTCTCACTAGTTTATAGGCTTGCACCGCTTACCTTTAAGTAACGATTTGGAAGAGCATATACTTGCATACACTAAATGAAATTTTAAGAAAATCCTATAGAATAGCGGGGTTGGAATTTAATTATTTAAAAACAATTCTTGACAGTTTTTTTTAGTACAGGCTGTTTTGGCACCTGTGGTTATTGTTAGTAAAATGTCTTTTTGGACAGCTTTGATGTGCGTTTATTGTTTTTTATGCAATAAAACATAAAGGTATTAATTAGTTAATACGAACTATATGATTTATTTCTTTCTAATTCATTTGGAAGAGAAGAAATGGCTATATTTTTCATTTTTACTTCGGAGTGATTGAAATGAGTGAGTTCACACAATATCGAATATCATGTTGAATGTCAGGTTGAATCTGATGCGTAATTCACAGTGGTGACCTCTAAGATATCTCATGTGGCAATTACTGGGTGCAAATACTCGCATAGTTCAGAAGCAACATAACCAACATGTGTCCATCCAGTTCCATAGTCTACATCAATTGCACTTGGGTCCATTGGATTCAATTGCTTTGGCCATATTCTTACATTCACTGGTTTATCTTGTCCATGAAGAGCAAGGTATGCCTGTTCCAAATGATGTCGGTAGTTCTTTGCATGAGCAGCACAAACTTACGTTTCGGACTAAAGCATGGACTTGCTACTCGACCAAAGGAATCTGACATAATTGCTTCAGCTGAATCCATTTGGGAACAATTAAAGCGAAAAAATCTTCTCCCTGATTCGTTCATCAAACAACAAAAAGTTAAGAATTCTATTAAAGCTATGGCTTGCAATTTCCTTGATTTTGATAATAGAAGACTAGCTGCTGATAGCAAAAACATTAAAATACTCAAAGATCTCCGTCAACGTTTTGTTATTCTAAAACCTGACAAAGGAAATGGAATTGTCCTGCTCAAATTAACCGACTATGTAGATAGTATCTCTGCTATGTTCGCTGACACCACCAAATTTAAGCTTGTTAATGATTTTAATAACTCGGACATTTGTTTAACCCAATTGAACACACTCCAGCAGTACCTGAGAACCATCCACAACCGAGATGAGATTGATGACACCACCTATAAGGATATTAGACCACAATCCACCAGGCCAGCCCGTGCTCATGGTTTACCTAAAATGCACAAACATTTCGACCATTTACTGTCTTTCCGCCCCATTACTGCTGACACAACTGGAACTGCTTATGAATTTGTGGCTAAATACTTATCTAAGCTTCTTTATCCACTCACACTTAACGAACACAAATTGAAAGATAGTTTTGACGCAGTTAACTGCATGCATAATATCTCTCCTACCCTTTTCTCTGAAGGCTACAGATTTGTCTCGTTTGACGTTACTTCTCTTTTTACTAACATTCCTTTCCATAAAACTGTCAACATAATTCCCTAATCGCATTTACAATGACGGACTAATTAAAACTAATTTTAAGAAGAGAACTCTCAAGAAACTACTAATCGACTCTTGTACTAAAACTCCCTTTTCCTTCAATGGTCTACTTTACCAACAGATTGATGGTGTGTCAATGGGAAGTCCACTTGGACCCACTTTAGCTGATATTTAATGACTGAACTTGAAAACATAGTTATACAACCACTTTTAGCCTCCGGGACTTTAAAATTCTACGCCCGCTACGTTGATGACACACTTGTTCTCGCTAAACCGTCAGACATTCCTTTGATCTTACTCAAACTTAATTCTTTTGACCCTCAAATACAATTTACTCATGAAATATTTACTAATAATAATGACGTACATTTTCTGGACATTAAAATCACGCCTACTGGCACTGCTGTCTACCGCAAATCCACTCACACCGGACAATATGTCCATCTGTCTAGCTTTACACCTTGGTGTAGGAAAATTGCTTGGCTACGTGCCCTTGTATATTGTGCTTATAAAATCTGTAGTAACGATGAACTATTACACAATGAGCTCTCTAATATTACTAAATTTGCTTCTTGGAACGGGTTTTCCAAACAACTTACCAATAAACTATTAGAATCATTTACCCCTAAATTACCTAATAACCTTTCCAATGACTATGTTGTTACTGATCCTCCTACTAATCCACCCACCATCTGGATTCATCTACCTTTCATTGGTAAAAGAGGCAGCACTCTTATTTACCACTGCACTAAGAAAATTAACCGTTTGCTCAAGCTACCTGCTAAATTCGTCACCCTATGGAATACCACTAATGCAAATGCCCTCTTGAGTACTAAAGATCCTACGACAAAACAACACCAAAGTTCTATTGTCTACAAATTCACTTGTCCCGGCTGCTCACATTCTTATGTTGGCAAAACAGATAGATGCCTTATCACTAGATTAAAGGAACATTCTGATTCGAAAGACTCTGAGATTTTTAGACATATCAATTCGTGTGAACACTTTTATAATTTAAATCCAGTATTAGTTTTACCTTTTAACAACCTAGAACTACTGCCTCAAATTGTTCTTAACAATACTGTAATTATTGATAAATCTATGAACTGGTCGCTTCTACTATATAAAGAAGCTTTACATATACACAGATAGCAACCTGAATTAAACCACGGGACTAAAGCATCAAAAGAACTTGTTATCTTTAATTAGAAGTTGTTGACAGATTAGATCATCTTATAACACACCTGTACTTATAACTTGTAAAATGTTAGTAGCTTTCATAATTCCTGATGATGACTCAACAGTAGTCGAAACATTGAATTAAAAATATAAATTTCTTCGGAGTTGCCATTGTTTTGTATTTTATTAGAATACTCAGTGGTAATCGAAAATAAAGATTACAATCTTGGCCATTAACCGTGGGACGATGATAAATTCTTGTGCATTTTCAAGGCCTCCCCCTTTCCCCCCATTCAATGTTGATGTTTTGTCTATATTTATGCAGCATGGGTGATCATCCTCGTCACTTTCATCCTCATCACTTAACTGGTCACCACTTTCTGCCCTATCACCTTCATTACCATATCCATCTTGACCAGGTTCAAGACCAGCCAACCACTCAAGTAGATCTCTTTCTACAAAGTCATAACAAGAAAATTTTTATTTTATTATTTTATACATACACTGTAATCTTTAAAATTAGCAATCTAATGCAAAAGTGTCACTATTTACAGTAATATTAGAACAACACACAAATATGGCAATATTTTACAGATGAAAATTGAAAAATATCTAACTACTGTATGCACATATATATAAAAATATATCCACAACTAGATACAAACAGGGATCATACTTCAGCAAAAATTTATTAAGCAATTTGTTTTTCTCAAAACAAGTACATAATGTATCACAGTGATACAGTACATAGACACATACACAATAGGGTCAAACTAGAGGCAATAAACACAAATATTACCCCATAATTTTGTTCAGTGTATTTATGAAATTACAGTACTCGAATAAAAACAACAAAGCGGAAATTTGACTAAATAACAACATAACTGTAATGCATTGTAGCATACCAACCTTAAATACTGCGCTTGTTTTCATGTTGACATAGAATAAAGATCCATATAGAAGGGCCACTTACGTCGGAAGCTTTGAAGTTTCTATCCTCACGCATGTTGATAGATAGATAGATAGTTTAATTAAAAAGTTTACATTGCAGCTCATAAAAGCTGAATTGTGTAATCTATTTACAAGCTATTATAACACGAATTTAAAATTACATTAGATGCTAAGTTTAGATATAAGACAGTTCGAGAAAATTTTTAACTACAAAGGTCAAATTGTATTAAGACTTGCACATCGAAGGAATAAATGTCCACTTAAAGAATGAGTACCATGGTAATGCTTTGCGCGCTTAGCTAGCCCATAGCAGCCATTTTTGGGGCACCCGAAAATGGCGTCATATTAGTTTGTTGAGTGTAGTGATATGTCTGCTTCTACTAGCAAGTCTGGCGCATCACCGCCTAAGCGCGGTAGGCCAAAAAACGAAGAATGAATAACGAGAATTAAGTTGAAGAAAGACGTATTTCAATGTTGGTTAGCTAGAAAAAATTCACTGGGATTTTCCACCAAGACTCACAGCGAATTTGCAATGTACTTGTTGCTGAATTTCACGGATGATGAATATGGAAGCAATTTGTATTCTCCTGGTGTTGGTAAGTGAAAATTGAACGTATTTTTACGTGCATATTTTATTGTTTATGTACTTATGTGTTGCCTTGCAATTCCTTATTTTATAATGTAGTAAATTAGTCTGCTTTCATTTGTATAGAACAAGAATTGTCTGTATTGCCAATGCACTCAAGACCACGTAAAACCAGCCTAACAAAAAGTGCTCAAGAACTTGTTGTTTCACCAATTTACCCCGGTGAAAATAATGCTTTGACATCTGGTTGTCAGGACTTAAATATGAGCAGAATGGAGAGTGTTTTAACCTTCAACCCTGAATTTGCACAGCACACCGGAGATCCATCTTCTGATGATTCCTCGAGCTCAGAGTCTGACCTTGGGTCTGACAATGACAGGTACTAAATTTATACGTCGATCTGTGCCATTATGCCACTGTTTACAAGTTTAATATTCACGTAAAAGTGTATTACAGTGTCATGTACGTATATGTATTACTGTGGCATTTTATGTAATGTAGTTGTCATATTATTTGCATGTAGGCAATGTAGACAAACACAAGGTCATGTCAAGTTGAAGTGTTACATTTTTAATTGTCAATTGTATGCAGAACAGGTAAAAGCTATGTCCACACAGGGCTGACTTGGGTGAAAATTTCTACAATTTATATATACTTATGTGAATTCAAGTCACAGCTCTAGGGAAGATGACCACAGCAGTGTCCAACTCTGGTCCAGTGACGAGGTTGAAAGGTATGTTAAAGCCAATATACTTCTTTATTTTGTAATGTATTGTTTAAAGGTGAAGGAAGTGTACATACATGCAGTCATACCTGTATTCATGATTTCTAAACACTTCGGTGTAATACTCTATTGCCAATTGGTGCTAAAGCTCATATATCATTGTTTGCATTATAGTTTAGATGATGACATTGATGAACAAACATTGAGTGCCTCTGAGTTTGAAGAAGAATTAGAAATGCCAGATCCACTTGATGTAAATATCACAGACAAACATATAGATCCAATGGACATCAATACTGTCAATACCACACAAGGAGAGGAGGACATGGATATCAGAAGATGTTGAAAGTCCTGAGCATAAAGATGAATCATGTCAAGAAAGAAATACAACTCACCTACCCGTCCCTCTTCAAACGATTTTCCGCAAGTGAGCCCGACCTGAATGCAGGTTTAAAATAGCACCACCTTAAAGTTTAAAGCCTGGGGATTCTTCTGAACTATGTCGTTCTTGAACTTTTTGAGCAGACGACTTTGTATTTGAAAAGTTAATTTTGAAAAGCAAGATACGACTCAATTTAAAGCAAAATGTCTGCAACGACAGGTATGTGCATAAACTATATGTTTTAAGGGGGTTTTTTATATATAATTTGTTTTGTTTAACGATCGAGCTCACTTGCGGAAATTCGTTTGAATTTAGATAATTTTGCAAGTTCGCAACAATGGCGTGCGTGGACATATGCTCGTGGGACTGTCAAAATCGGGAAGAAGAAAATTTGATTGCCCTGCTTAAAAACGATGAAAAACTTTAGTGTTGGAAAGGTAATAATAAAATATGTGATTGTTTATTTAATAAAATCATTGAAACAACCTGCAGTTTGGAGGAGAACCAGGAGGAAAGGGTGAAAACAAGCCTGACACTATTGATATAATTATCACTGCGCATATTAAAAACCTTAAATGAAAGGTAGTCAATATGCTTGCAAAACAAAACATCCAAAGGGTAGTTGTACAGTTATTTTACAGCTCTATAAAGAGCACAAGCAGGCATCTGTTGTCTGTTGGCGATGATCCGAGTCATGAGTGTCTGTGACTTGGAATTACTGAGCAGGTATTGCATGATATACTGAGTGTAATAACAACAACAGCATGGTGTTGGTAAGACCCCCGTTGTATTTTAACCAATAAGTTGGTAACCGAGATAAGTGAAACAAGGGAGCGGATGGGAAAATCATGGGTTGACAACCTAACTTGGCTATGTGTTTTACTAATGTGCTGAAAACCCAACTGTAAACCGAACTGTACGGGATAAATTGGAAATTTTAATTAGTTCAACTGATGACTAATCTATTATTTTTTCATTTTTATAGTGTACATTACCAACTTAAAGTACACTATGAATAAGGAGTGTCAATGCATTCAACCTATACGGCTTTCTTAAATGAGACAGTATGTAGACAATAGACCAAAAATGAACAAGCAGTCCAGCTTGATATATAGCTCAGGAGATTTTGTTGTCGAAACTGTATCTTTGATTTGATAAACTTGTGTTACAGTAAATAATATGTTTCTTGAAAAATAATCGATTTCTTCCTCAAAATGAGTAATGACATCATCAGTGACAATAGTATGACATCACCAGTGACGTAATTGAGATGTCATCGGATTTGTAGTGTTGTCACAGAAACGTCTATGTAACAAGTGTTTAGGATTGGTAGGGTGTATAATAATGAAACATCAAAATATTTCAATAAGTTAATTTGAAGTAAATTTTGAGCAAAGATATGCAAAATTTTCCAATTAGAATATATGTAAAAATGACGTCACATGGTTACCATAGTTACCATGGTAACTAAATGGTGTTGTCTGTGGTATTGTTGAGCATGTAATGCTATCCAACACACACTTAGTTTTTAAAAATTGATGTTTTGTGATGAAAAAATGTGTATTTAAGTGCATGTTGTTCATAGCTATGACGTCGTGATGATTTCATTATGACGTCATCATATTTCCATGGTAACACAGTTTTGTTACATTTTATCAACTAGTATTGCTTATTTGACATATAACATGTCATACAACACTTTTGTAATCGTTTTTAAGTAATAAATGATCTAATTTCAGTTTTTGTGTTTTTCTTTGTCATTCAATGACGTCATACGGTTTCCATGGCAACGATAAGTGTCCAACTGTTACACTGTGTTGTTGCTCTGTATGTCACGAATGCAGTCTGAAAATATTGTGGTGATTGGATGAAATCTCTAGAAGTTATGACCTTATATGTTAAAAAATCAGCATAAAACCAAGCATTTTGGTGCCACATTTCACACCCAGCTGTAATACATCTATACAGTGTCGCTCTTCCAAAAATTGGACTAAAATTCCGATATTCAAATTGCCGTAACTTTTGATTCCCTTGACCGATTGTGATGAAACAAACACCATTATGTTTTAAATAACGAGCTCTATCAAACTAACCTACTTGTGGAGCCCCCCTGTAAATTTGAAATTTTGGCCGTTATCCCTACTGATAGGAGTGAAAATAGTTTTGAAATATTTATTGAAATAAAATAAAGAATTCGGCACTTTTAAAGGGAAACATTTCGTGCACATTTAACTACTGGTTTTGTTGAATTTTGTATTATAAAACAACAACAATTAGTTAAATCAACAGCACTAAAACAGGTCAATCTTAATTCTCAAACGATGTTGGAGTGTTGGTAATGTTGGTGTGAATCTATATTTTCAGATTTATATTAAAGTACAGCAGAAAATTACAGCAGAATAAAATGAACTATGCCAAAGGCCCTGATCAACAAACAGAAAAAACCCCAGAAGTATCAAAAGCGTGAGGTGGGTATTCACATTTTTGTGTACACTTAATAGTTTAAAATATTATGAACAATGTACATGTACAAGTACAACTGCTTTTAAGTTCTTGGTTATATTTTATCCTAAATTTAAAAAAAATTCAACCATACAATTTTTTCAGATTCTCTAAGTAATATCCTTTATTTGTTAGTATATAGGGTATAGTCTTCATGTTGTTTTAACCTGAATTTCTATTTAACCATTATAGGTTGCATTCACCCCAATCTAAAATATCTGAAAAAAGTTAAAAACTCATTTACTGGTTTGGTAAATGACAGGGTCACAATGTGGTCACACTTGGTTGGTTACCAGTCAACGAAGGATCCATTACAGTATTGCAAACTTTACATTAACAGGAAATAGCCATAAGATATAAACTTCCAGTGCAATGCTTGAAATATATTACTTTTAAGAACTATCTTTTACAGAATTAGTAATTCTGCAAATATAATTATCTTCATTTTATCTGATGATGAACAATGTTAATAATGGACATTCCATATTAAAAATTTATTGTTTAGAATTTATTACATATATTGTGTAGTGCAAACAATTTCAGTCATGAATAGGAAAGGGTTTTGTGTGGTAGGATCCATATGAAGCAAACTGAAAAGTTACCCACAAATTACCATTGCTTGCAACTGAAGCCTTGTTTCCATTTGGTCGTAACTGTTGTGACCAAGTCGACAATGTGAAATAGTCTGGATCTAATTGTCTTCTATGTGCAAATCAGTCTTTACTTATTGCAGAGATATAACGACACTCTATTACATGGTCACCTTGAAATGTCCATGACAGTTACGACTAAATGGAACCAGGCTTAAGGATGAACAGTCGCAGATAAATTTAAACATTGTCTATTCTCATGACAAAGTTAATGTTTTTACTGAGAAAGTTTAATGTTTGTGATGATCATTTGATGGTTTCAATTAACTCAGCCAACCAGCTTGGAGCTGGTTAAACGTGATTGGCTGAACAGATTAAAACCTGTCAAGTGCTATTGACAAACATTGAAGATTCTCACGCAAATAGACAATGTTTTATCTGCGACCATTCATCCTTAATTAGTTGCAAGCGACAGTAATGGTAACTGCAAACAATTTCATTTTCAATTTAATATCAATTTTTTCATGCCTGAACAAAATTCAAAATGTGCCTGCAAAAACGGATTTTGTGACCTAAATAGTGTTTTAAAAACACATGTTCAGTATTTTAAAATGTTCATGCAAAAATTCAAAAGGTGGCTGCCAGTGGCGCTCACACAATTTAATGCCTGTTAGTGGTTACCGAAAAATCAAACGCACAACCTTTGCTTTACCAACTGAGCTACAAGGTCAATTCTGTTTAAATAAGTGATACAGTGAATTTTGCCAAGTTTATACTAAACATGTCTATACAATAGTTTTGTTTGTGGAAAACACCACATAAATTTATTACTGCAGTAATACATTTACGTGGTGTTTCCACAAACAAAATTATTATATGTTTTATACAAAGAACTTATGTCTATACAAGTTCTATACTATAGATGTCTATTTGTATGTCATGTCTATACTAAACTGGTAGATAGCCACTCTCTTTTGTTCCTCAACCAATCACTTTTTGTGACTTAGTGATCTCAAGTAAGCACATTTTCCCATTAACTGGAGACAATTGTTCCCATTTTGTCCCAGGGTATGCCTGAGAAGGGGGGTTGGGTTTTCAAATAACTGGTATATTACATCTTAATAAGACTTGTGATTGGTCTTTTATATATCAATATTTAGAAATTATCCTTCAATATTATTATTATATATATTATGAACTGGTCAAAATTTAAAAGCCAAATTTCAAAACAAAAGCTTTTAAAAACAGAGACATTTTTAGAGACAAAGATAGACTTTTCAAAATTTGAAACAAAATGAAAAAGCTCGTCACAATGACATTTTTACATTTGGTTTTGTATTTATTCCTCGTAATAACTATTGTTTCCTCGGCGCCACACCGGAAAATAAGGAATAAAATTGGATGCGCTGTTTGTTGTGGGACAAAAACAAGCAAAAAATTTTCTATTGTAGCGAATTTCCTACAAGATATGAGAGCTTGTTTTGGACAAGACTTTAAAGAGACAGGAGTGGTGTGTGCTTCTTATTCAAGAGCATTAAGTAGGCACAAGAAGACAGGGAAAACGTATGAACATGTAAGTACATTACTTCAATTTATACTTCAACAAATGTCAACATACTTTTACCATATTTTGGTAAACCTTTAAAATAACTATATTCTACTGTACTGTAATACTGCATGTTTTTTATTTTACCTTTTTCTACCACAGAATAACAAAGTTTTAAAATTTAATGTTCAGAATGTTGTTTCACCTCTGCAACAACTTGTGTAACCCAACATTAATTAAGCAGCAATGAATATTTCAGTGCACCTTAATGCACATAATTATATTATTATACACTTACCTGTTTAATACTAGGTAATAGAGCTTAGAAGTGCTTACGTCACGCCAGCACCAAACAATGAACTGCAATGCAATGTGGGACACACGTAGGAAAAATAATAACCTCATGTTTGTTTCAAAACTATGTGACGTAAGCACTTATAAGGTTTATTAGCAACAGACTTTATGATATAGTACTATGATAAGGACTTTATGATATAGTACTATGACATGTACATTTTCTGTAGTGTATGGAATAGCTACGGAATACTAAAGCCGCCCCACAAAACATTGCCCACCTCCTCCACAAAGATCACCACCATGTGATGTCGAGTCACCAACAACACCAGTTTGGACAACTGAAACTACAGAGTTTGGCCCCATTCAAAGAGGACCGTTTGGCCAAGTTCTTCTACCACCAGGAATATTTGAGGAAATACTAGAAAACAAAGAGAATTTAGTTAACAGTATGTGAATATTGATAAAATAACCTGCATTTATTTTGATTAATGAGAATTGGATAGACTACATACCAAATGTAAATCCTCTATTAAGCCCCCACTGGGCACTATTTTTTGGGAGGAGGCTTTAATGAAATGGGAGACTTTAATAGTTTAATATTGATTTAGATAGAACAAAATCTAGTCAAATAATTTGTTCTTGTACTAACACAAACTTCTCAGACAGAAGAGCTTACTTTAGAGGGGGCTTATTAGAGGATTGATTGTATAAACTTTACCTCAATGTTTATAGCTATCCTTTTCTCCAATTTCACAATGACCAATACATTTGTTTGGAATTAGACAAATCATAGACAATCAAAGGAATTCCTTTGATTGTCTATGGACAAATGAAGCAAGTTACTTATAACAACTTGTGTAATTTATTCCTTCTTGTTCTGTAGGCGGGAGTCTTAAGGAAGAGCTAAATAAAGTTAAAGCACATATGTACAAAGAGTTTGTAAAAAATTGGAAGAACCCAATTTATGAAAACCAATTTAGAAGATTTTGTCAAGCAACTGGAGCCCAAACCTTGTTTGACGATATCCTCTCTTCAGTAACCTATCCTCGTCATTCAGAAAACCGACTAAAATTGAATGAAAAAAGAGTGGTAGGAATTATTTACAACCTAGTTTACTGCCTTAGTCAATGGTGCAATACCATGCAAGTGGATCAAGCCCTTTATCTACAAACAAGCCATGCAAACCAGGAGGCGATTCTGACCGAACATCAATTAGGAAACACTTGTTCGAGAAGATTAATGAATAACATTAGAAAATCACTCAGTTCCAACCACAGAGATGATCTTCAACAATTTTTTGCAGATGCAATAAAAAATGAGTGGCTGTTGGTTCTTGTAACTGATGATTATACAACTATTCATACCATTCGACGGCCAACACAAACAAATTCTCCCAAGCCAACAATATGTGCACAATCATTGTGAAAGCATTTAAAGAGATACCTGCTATCAGACGCCCAAATAACCTAACACTATTACATGATCCAAACGGAATTAACATAGAAGCATTATTGGCAACAATCACATCTCCAGTCCAAATGTCTATGCTAGGCAATAGTTGGACAGACTCAGGGATCACCAATATTGTGAAGGCCACTCGGTTCATGACATGCGGAAGATGGATAACGTCCACTTGGTTAATTTTGTTCGAGCTGACCCTAAAAGGAAAAAATGCATTTGAAACAGCATATGATATAGCTATGGCAACTGACTTGAAATCCTATGCAAAGAAGTTTGTTGTTATCCAACCTGGTGATTGGCCATGTCAATTTTACTGCAGGCAGGTGGTGTACCAGCAAACCTATAATGTGCAAAAGAAGAAAACCTTCAAAACAGCAGCAAGAAAGGCAAACCCTCTCTCTGCAAAACCTATTCCATCAATCAACATACCTGATCATGAATACTGCTTCAATATCCCACACTCCCCAACTGTTGCTGAACAACAAACCACATCTCTTTTGCAACCAAATTCTCCATTTAGTTCTTTTGCTCCAATGATGGGTCCCCTGCACATCTCCCTCGATAGTAAGGAACATGTGTTTTTGACATTCTGGCCATTCTTTCAGCGATGCCACGAGGATCTGTTTCCAAATTGCAAACTACCTGAAAAACCAAGACCTTGGCGTATTAATTTACTTCTGGAACTTGTTTATGGAGGATGGCTTTTAGTCTGTTCAACAACTTTAAAAACATTTTCCAAGTCAAAAGATCTTCAATATGGCACTCTGCTCAATCTCCTGGACAATTACATACCACTGGTTTTGTCCATATACTCTGTCACATTCAAATCAAACAATTTTAACGAATACTTTAATGCCATGACGTATTTGGGTTATGTTTGTGTGTTGAAACGCCGCCAAAACAACCAAACTGTCCATAATTGTATGGATGATCAATCATTGGGGAAGGCATTTTCCTAATGTAATGAAACAATGGCAAATCATTCGTTCCCAAACATTGGATTCAGATACAGCAGAAACCCTTTCCAGCAAAGTCAAAGCCATTTTCCAATCTAAAGAAAAACAGAAAAACTTCCGTTCTTCCTTTACTCCTCCGATGAAGTTTTCCTTCTTAACAAAACAACTCCAATTCCTTAACCTCTGTGTTTGAATCCATTGTTCACCACCCAATGAACACTCAATTTGTTGAGAAATTAAACAAGAAAAAGAAGGGAACAGAAGTGAAAATGCCTCAAATATTTGGAGAAAGGAAATTAAGTGATTGTGTGCTACCCCCTTGAATACCATGGTAGACATCAGCCAAATGAAGATTGCAAGTGTGATATGCCATCATGTACCACATCCAAAGAAGAAACTTGGAAGATGTTTCCTGGTTGTTGGCATTCCTTCCACGAGTCATGCATTAAGGATGACAGTTGCCCTCTTTGTTCCAAGACGCTCTCTGAGAAAAGCAAAGGAATTAGGTAAGAAGTGCAAAGATGCAATCCTGTTCCCACATCAGAAAGCAGACCAAACCCCAGATAATTGTAATGGAAATCAAGATGATGATGAAGACATCCAGTTAGGAACACATGGTGAAATCATTGCTGATGTTACTTCATTAAATAACAAGATTTCCAATTTGTGCCCTACTCTTCCAAAGAACGACAATCGATCCCTGCCACCACAACCACCACCACCCAAGATATCAAAACCACAAAACCCAGTTACACCACCATCACAAGTTACACTACCATCGAAAGCACCTTCAGCTTCATATGGGAGAGACCCACTGTTTCCAGCTACACCACCATTGCGAGAGTCAACACACAACAACACAGGTCAACACCACATCAGCAAAACCTTGTCAACCACAACAACGTATATTCAGAATTGAACACCCTGGTATTATAGAATGGCTACTTCCTCAAAGCATTTCCCAATCCAATCTTTCCTACAACACATCTGGAAGTAATGCATGCACAATAATATTAGTCTTGGGTGCACTAAATCTATCAAGGAAGAGTTACTTTCCAACATCTGTTCAAGAAATAAATGAAGCTGCTGCCTACTTCAAGCAAATAATAATAAAAGGAAACAGTTTATATCAGACTCTCAACATCGAACCATCTACACCAAACTTGCATGTGGTGGATGTCTTGACCAAACTACCAGCATTAACCATGACCATTAAAGAGAACACTGGCTTTTTCATGGAAGATGATATGGTGCAAAAGCTCAAAAGCATTCAGCAAGAAAATCCTGTTATGGTCGGTGTTCTGATTATTACACCTGACAAATCAATGGTCATTTATATGGATCAAAAGAAAATTAGTCTTCCATACACCCTTTTACATCATATCTTTAATATTTTTTTATGAAATATAATGAAATATGAACAGCTAATCGAACAGCTAACGATCAGAAATAGGAAGCAACATATCGCACAGGCCAATATATATGTATGTTTACAGGCGAAAAAAAAGTGGCACATTTTCCCCAGCATATCCACTAACTTTTCCATGAAGGTTGACTAATAAGGATAGTTTTAAGCTATATTTTGGAGAGAGGCAATGGGAAAAATTTAAAGATATTTTTATTTATATGCCATATCACCACAGAATTTCACAAAGCAAGCATGCCTATATTCAGGATTGCTGTTAGACTCTTAAAACTGAACAAATCAATACGGCACTTCCTATCTCGTAACAACCAATACTTGGACATTTTCAAAAGCATTTTTGCAGCAATTTTTACTTTATAACAAACCAATACAGGAGCAATTTCATAAGCATGTGACAACATGACATTTTCACTTCACAAGTGGATTTGTCAATTACAACATCTAGCACATTTTCCCCATGAATAGCTCAGGTTTTAATAAAACAAAGTACGATTTAACTTTCATAAAATATATTTTCTAACTAAAGGCAACGGCCAGTTTTTACGAAATTGCAAGAGGAATATGTGTCATTTTCATCAAAATATGTATTTTAAGACACTTATTATTCCAGATGAGGAAGGACAAACAAATTATTGAACATACCTGTGGAAACAACAACAACAACTCAGCTTCTATCAAGAGTAAAATATGAACACTTCCTTGTTTCCATACTGCTGTACCCTGCTTCTGAAACTCTGACAATGAGTTTGCATGTTTACATGCGATTAAGTCGTTATATCGTTGCGTACAAGCACTACAACTTTCAAGAAACACTTTATTTTCCATGAACAAACCAGTAAAAGAGGACAAAAAATCCTCTCACAATGCATATTTTCAGCGTTCGAAGAATCAAAATGTTTGTTAAAGAAATGCGCCCGCAATATTTAGACAGCAACAACAGAATGCCCAGCTGTTTGGCCGCAATATGTATTTTGTAAGGCAGAGAAGAGTCTGGGATCTAGTTTAATTCAATTGTCAAATATAAATACCCAATTGTTTGCTCAACCAAATCTACATGTTGGATGTGTGGAAGATGATGATCTCAAGTCTTTATGCTATGAATCCTTAAAGGATATATTCTCTGGGCTTGTGAAGAAAATTGTCCAAAGTTCTAAAGTATGGAATATTACTAGAAATACATGTATTCAGTAACCCCTCACTTATATTTTCCAAGCATTGATTTAACATGAAGTATTCATAATTGGCCAACACTGAATGCAGGCTCGTGTTGTGGTGTCATGTATTGCCACAATGGATCCGAGGGCATTACATAATGGTTGTGTTACAGTGTGGTTTCCACAAAAAAGAAAAAGTAGCAAACCAGACCATCCTTAAAGATGGCTAGCATGCAGGGCCCGAGCCAACCTCATTCCCAGGATCTCTCCTTCTGTCAACTGGGAGAGACCCTGGCTGCAGCTGGTCACATGCCTCCCAGATTCTGGGAGGTAAATTTAATTGTAACTGTGAGAGGGGTGGGAAAGGAGCGTGTTTGTAGCATTTTAAAATTGCAACTTTGGGTGATGAAATTTACTGTAAATTTGCAACAAGAAATCGTAAAGAGAACTCTTAAATTAATATTTATATTGTGACGCTCTACTCTATAATCTGGTGTCGAGTTACAATTCAAGCAAGTTGGATCAGATTTCAATATTCAACTTATAGACTTGCCAAAGAAAGCACGCTTGCCGCTTGTGCAGCGTGGCAATATTAAACCTACAAGAAAATATAGATCTCTAGACCGAACAGTGTGGTTGTTACTCGGACCAAAAGAATTTATTTATTGATGAGATGTGGAATTGCAACGAAATAGCGAGATCTTTTGATTTCCGAAATATCGCCAACTGTATCCAGATTGTTGATCTATATAAAGGCCTTATCAAAAAAAAATTAAAGCCCGTCAAAGCACCATAAAATTGGCCCTTGGCATTGCTGAAACCAACGATCATGGTATATGTCAAAGTATAGCTGTCTGTTGAAAATCTATGGTATAAAAATCATACACCAAAGATAAGTCAAACGACAAATTATATATATATGTCACTATATTATACATGTCTTTCAATTAGCACTGTTTATTTTGTAAACAGCTTTCGTTTTGACATGAATAAGCTTTGATTTTTTGCTGTATATGCATTCTTAATAATACAAGTGAGATTTAAATTTTTGCTTTGACTTCTTTGTGAAATAGAATACCACCGTTATTTTTTAATGGACAGCTTGCATCGTGTATATCATATCCAGGATTGCTTGTGTGTAAACGCATTTTAATATTCAGTATATGACACTATCAAATAAATATAAGTAGTAAATGATTAATGAATTAGAGATAAACAGGTGATTCACAATGAAAACTTTAAAAATGTTAGTAAAAGTAGGCTAGAAAACTCGAAAATTTATGTTTATTCGTATGATGCCAATGACGGTCTGCATGTGCGCATCTGACACTGTAAATTTGTGATATAGATTATAGTATGTTAACACAATATAATGATTAATAGAGACCAAAAAAAGGCTAAAGTCTTACTATAATTACCGAATACAAATTATGTACTAAATCCAGATAAACCAATGACTGAAATTTCCTCTATACTTATAGACATTTCTCTGTTCGGCCATTATCAAATGTTTACATTTGCTAATATTGGGTCAGTCCTAGACATACTGTTTCTTTTAAAAAATTTTATCTTATAAACAAGACGTGTAGTAACAAGTGAATCGGTACAAAGCGTATCAACGTTTACAAGAAAGGACGAATGTAATGGCGTATTTTAAAAACATTACAATATTAAAAGTTTGTTATAACCGCGCTCGATTGTGAAGAGAGCATGCATTGAATAACAACACGAGAGAGCACGTACTACGAGTAACGATTTGCTTTGTTTCTTGACTTGACTGTAAGTAAGAATGTTCTTGTAAATTCAAAGCAAAGAAAATAAACAAAAATTAGCAAGTATTTTGAACGTAATAATTCGCAAAATTTATGTTTTTAACGAATATTCCACTGGAAGCATGTTGATGTAATTTGATACTTTCCCCACACCCCCTCAGGCGCTAAATTTTTGACGAGGCACGTGACCAGCCGCAGCCAGGGTCTTTCCCAAAGAAAGATCCTGGGTACGAGATTGCGACGCGGTCTGAATTTCAGCTAAAAAATGAACGCTAGGCAATTTCATTACTGTAACTAGAAAATACATGCATGCAGAAACCCTCGCCTTGCTGACAAACAGACAAACCATTGTATTTTCCGAACATGAAGTATCTGAAGTAGTTGTCATGGTAACACGATAATTTTTTAAGAATATTCTTACAAATGAAAAATCGCCTAAAAAATATCACTTTTAATTACAAAATTATTAATTTGCCAACATATATATGTTAGGTATGTTATTATACGTAATATAAGCCTCAATTTAAGGTAAAATTCAACCACAAACGCTTCGCAAAACGTTTTAAAGTCACTAGTGTTCTTTATAAAACTAAACTGACTTTTAAAATGGCTTTATCGATAAACTTTGAGTTTGCAATAAAATGACTTCGAATTATCGCTTGCAAATAACTCTGCTTTCTTTTTTATTTAAAAAATTCAATATCATAAAAAAGGGAATCAATATTACTAAAGATACACTGAAATAATATGCTGTCTTGTTTAGTTGTTTCATATATGCAAAGGCCGTCGGGTTTTAAATTAAATCCATTATAAAATCAATATTTAAAACAAAGTTACCTTCATTAACGTTGGCTCATTTCTTTTAGCCGATTCTTTCGCTATTTCTTTCTTGAAATTTACAAAATCTTGCGAAAATGCGAGCGAAAATGAAATATATTTGTGATATTTGCAAGAAATTTTTCAATCATCAAATCAGGAAATGTTTGCTATTTAGCTGTCGTCATACAGTCGTTATAATGCAAACTTTAAATTGGACCAATCAGTTTTCGCTATTCATGACAGTCCGCCACATATTTTGAGATCAGTGAGGATGACCACCCACCGAACCTTCGTTGGTGAGCCACGCCCGCGATATTTGATGAACTTTAGACTCCGCTAATGCTTTCGTTTCCCCGGGTGTAAATAGCCGGGGGGAATTAGTACCCTCGCACGGCGCTTCGCGCCGTCGGCTCGGGGATAAATGTTTGACGATTTTCAACTAACATTACAAACTGCTAAGTTTGACTAAAGCGATGCAATGTTTGCGGTAATTTCGACTTTAAGTATCACCTTTTGGGTCGCAATAAGCTTGGCGTTGCTTGAAAGACGTGATAAGGCTTAGTTTAACGTTCTGCTGAGCATGACAAAGCCGTTGAGAATACCCCTGGGACCACAAATTAATCACAGTTTTTGTCTTGCATGACAGATTTCTTTCTTTCGCAAGCGCGTCGTTGAGCCGGCCGCGTCGTAGATCTTAAACTCTCTATTAACAACTTCGTCCTTTAGAATAACCGTTATGACGTATTTTATGAAAAATACATGCCAATAAAAGCTTAGTTTCATGATACTCATTTGTCTTGCTTTATTCACACTTCTTGTATTGTTTTGAACTCGAACGCTACATCTGCCTTCACTACTGCCTGTAAGTCCCAATTGTTATCTCCCAAAATCTGGGAGACACGTAACCAGCCTGGACCAGGGTCTTTCTCCAGCATGACGCGTAACGGAAAGAGCCTGGGTGCAAGGTTGATGATGATGCGTCACCCTGTGGTGCCTCGCGCCCCCTTGGGCCCCCTTGCGCCCCTTCAGAAAAGGTTGGGTACATTTATTACTACTTACCATGCTATAATAATATACATGAAAAGTTTACACGCTTCTATAACACCTGGCACTCACCTAAGCCATTTAAGTATCGTTTTCATTGCCTGTATGTTGGCAAACCTTTTCAGCCTCTGTTTTCTTTGTACTTCAATTGATCTACGCGTGCGCCACGGTTCGCGAAAAATGTATTTTTTCGATACATACATATACTGTGTTGTGAATTATTCTATAAGAATATCAATCCACCCGGGAGAAATTATACGTGTGTTCAGAAATTGAAAAAGCTAATATATTCACGAGTTGTTTCAAGCATTGCAGAAATGCCAAGCAACGACCGCTAGCAAATCAGTGTTAAAACTTCTAATGCATGAGTCAAATCCAAGCGGGCCCACCCCCCTCCCCAGGCAACAGCGGGACATTTTCCTGTAAAGCACATCCTGGGGTTTGGGCATTTGAACTCAAACCTTTTCCCGGGAGCGGGGCATTTGAAATTAAGGATTTGAAGGTTTTACGATCACCGATAATTTGGTAATAATATATTATAAAACAAAACAGTAGCAGTTTTAGAATATTTAATAAAATATAAACCAATCAAGTTCTTGTTACTCGCTGGGGCACTGTGCCCCAGACGAGTATAGGTTTCGGCACTCATGGTGAATGTCAGATTTCCGATTGTCGTTGATAGCCACAAAATAGAATATTAATGAGCTGCTTGACCTTTTCAAAATGGTGGGGCCTTTCGTGGAGTGGGCAAAATGTTTCAAACAATTCCGGGCCCCATTTCGAGAAACTTTTGGCCGAATTGTACCTGTTTTCTATGGATTTTGCTTTGTGTCTAACTCTGGACATTCATGCTAGTTTATTTAATGCGTTTGTCTTGGTGCACGACTCTGAAAATCCGAAATTTGGATCGTTGAATTCCCGTGCACGATCATAATATACTGAATCAGAATATTAATTAAAGAGCCAAAGACAATTTCAAGGTAAAAGGTTATTTATTAAAACTACGTTGTGCAGTGTAAATTATAACTACTTTATGGGAAGCATATTGGTGTCATATCAATATAAAATTTATTGAACAACAGTCCGTGAAAACTGTCTGTAGACTGTAGTGTACTGAGTGCGAAACATGATATTGTTTTTTTTAATGCCTTTTATTAATGGCGCAATAAGGATAAAAATACCACCGTTCGATTCAGCGTACGAGATTGTACTTACCGATGTCAAATGTATTACTAAACTTAAAACAGCAGTATTCTAGCAATTTATGGCCTTTGAAAATCAAGCGAAATTGTATTGTTGACATCAAATCACTAGTACGCTAAGCAGTACGTTTGTCCTTGACCTTGTATTTGTATTGCCTAATTAATGGCGCAATAAGAGTAAAAATACCACCGTTCGAAATTGTACTTAAAAAGCATTACAATTGTTTATTTCATATCTGAGAGGGAGAAAGCAAGTTTGCAAAATTAATCACGAAATATCAGATAGAGCTACAATTACTTGCGGAGTCCCTCAGGGTTCAAATCTAGGACCACTGCTTTTCTTACTTTACATCAATGACTTACCAAATTGCTTAAGGTCTACAAAAGCATCAATGTTTGCAGATAACACTAATATATTCTGTGACGGAAAATTAGCAACTGACATTCAACAAAAAATTAACTCAGACTTGAACAGTGTTCATAATTGGCTATTAGCTAACAAACTAACTTTACGTGCTGAGAAAACAGAATATATGATTGTTGGTTCGAGACAAAGGCTTAATCAAATAAATTCAGATCCTGACATATTAATAGGAGATCATATGATAAAGAGAGTTTCTAACAAAAAATTCCTAGGAGTGGTTCTTGACGAACAACTTAATTGGCATAACCATATAGATAAGCAATGTGCAAAAATTTCAAAAAACATTGCACTTTTGAGAAGAGCAAAAAGTTTTCTGACAGAAAATGCCCTTATTACAATTACTGCTCAACAGTTTGGCACAACGGAAATATCACCCACATTGACAAATTAAGTAAATTACAAAAAAGAGCAGCACGTGTTATCACTAACTCAGGGTATGACATAAGATCAACAGAGATCTTAAATAGATTGAATTGGGAGCCCATTGCAAATATCCTCGAACAACGTGAACAAACAATGACATTTAAGGCAATTAACAAAATGACACCAAAATATTTAACAGAAATGTTTACTATGTCCCAGAACGACAATTATGCATTGAGAAGTAACGAACGAAAACTTCACTTATCAAAACCAAACACTAACTTCCTTAAGAAAAGTTTTTCCTACCGCGCAGCAGTGTCATGGAATAAACTTCCAAACGAAATTCTCGAGGAACATGAGCATCTTTCATTGAATCAGTTCAAAAGGCTTATTAAAAGTTGCTAAGATAGCGAAATTTTCCCGAAATTTTATCGAATGTTTACTTGCATTGTAAGGTCGTTATGCATGTTATACTTCAATTTGAATTAATGTTAGTGTGTTATACTTTAGGTTTAGATTTAGTTTTATATCTTTTTAACAGTTTTAGACCACGGCCCTTTGAAAAACAGGCAACTGAAAGGTTACCGTGGATAAATATGTTTAAATAATAATAATAATAATAATAAAAAACTTACGGATAAGAAATTGTACCTACGGATGTCAAATGTATTACTAAGCAACTGACAACAGTATTCTAGCGATTTATGGCCTCTGAATTTGTCTTTGAAAGCCAAGCGTAATTGTATTATTTGTTGACAAATCGCTCAGATTTAATATAAAAGATGCAGTACGTTTGATCCTTGATAACTTTGGTATCATTGGTTTTCTTCTTTTCGGCCGTACACCAGTGAATTCGTATCACTTCTCTCTTCATTTTGATAATATTTTGAGCCCAAAAGCCCCAAGATATTTTATTTTGAACGCTTTAAACTGGCGGCCGACAGAAGAATGTAGCGTACTATAAAATATAACTTTACTTGTGGGCATAAACGCCGGAAGTTTCCCCTTAGCTCGGGGCCAGGCTTAATTTCCACACCAGACTTAATACACGCACGTAAAACTTTAAATTTGTAAAATAACCAAATAAATAAAGCAACAGAATTTACTGCTGCGCAAGTTTTAGTATGAATTTGTTAACTTATTTGTAAAATATTTAAAAATAGAAGGATTCAAAGTTTTACGTGTGTGTACGTGCGTACGAAAAACGCAACAGTGCCAGTGGAAATCAGCCTTTAGATCTTAACAGTATAATGTGCGTCAGTTGTGTAGCCCCAGCGAGTTAACGCTCCACAGAGCGTCTTGTTAATTTAAAAACGCATAAATTTGAACCATGCACGACGCAAATTTTAAAAACAAATGCGCTAGAGCATAACGACAGTAAAACTCGCTAGAGTATGATGCACAATACGTCTATAGTATTAAACAGAGGGCATTCGCTCGAAACGTCGAAGAAAATATTATCGAAGAAGAGACACCAGTGCTTATAGAATAGAATAGAATAGAATAGAATAGAATAGAAACTTTATTTCACGAGAGGAACGTATTAACCGTAAAAGTTATCTAACATACGGCCCTCGCACTATTTTGATATTTACAGGCATAAAAAGTATTAAGGATTACAACTATTTACATTTGAGAAAAAAATAATTTGTAATGAATATAATTACAATTTAGTAAATATTTACAATTTATACAAAATAGATTTTCGATATGGTTAGTAAGGGTTACGAAGTCTGTGAGAAATTATTGGTCGTTAATGCCTCCAAAACATGTGGTCCTGATAATATTCCAGGTCGCCTTTTGAAGGAATTTGCGCACCTTTTCGCTGAACCAGTTGCGAAAATCTTCAATATGTCACTGGAATCCGGGATTGTTCCAAATATATGGAAAGACTCACATATTACTCCCATTCCAAAAGTTAAACAACCAACTGACGAGGGTGACACAAGACCCATTTCACTAACGCCATGCCTTTCTAAAATTCTCGAAGATTTTGTCGTTAGATGGATGATCTCTGACGTTAGGAATAATATTGACGCACAACAGTTCGGTTCTTTAAAGGGTTCATCCACGACCTATTGCTTGCTCGACATGTTGCATTGTTGGCTTTCTCATTTAGATTCAACTGGTCATTTTCTTCGCATATGCTTTTGGGATTTTGCAAAGGCCTTCGATCGTATTGGCCATAACATTCTTATCCAAAAACTTGTTGATATTGGCGTTAGGCGATCGTTAATACCATGGATCGTAAACTTTCTATCAGGGCGAAGACAGCGGGTCAAACTTGCGGAAGCTGTTTCTTGTTGGCTTCCTGTCACAGCCGGTGTCCCCCAAGGTACGAAGTTGGGTCCGATCCTGTTCTTAATTATGGTCAATGATTTACAATGCGGTTCGGGGAGGTCTGGCAATTGGAAATTCGTTGATGATGTTACCATCTCTGAGGGATTATTAAGGAATGGGGAACCGTCTGTAATCCAGTCCGATTTAACTTCTATAGCTACATGGGCATCTAATAACCTGATGAAATTGAACGCAAAGAAATGCAAAGAGATGCAAATTTGTTTCTTTCGGAACAAACCTGAACTACCACACTTGTGTGTTGAAGACCAGATCTTAGAATGTGTATCGTCGCACAAAGGTTCTTGGATTGATTATCCAGGATGACCTTAAGTGGAACGAACATATTTCGATGATTGTTACCAAAGCATCCAAGCGACTGCATATCCTACGTGTCCTACGACGGGGAGGGATTCCACCGCACGACCTTATCACAATTTATTATGCATTGATTAGATCTACATTAGAATATTGTTGTACAGTATGGCATTGTGGTCTACCTATGTATCTGTCTGAACAAGTCGAGAAAATTTAAAAACGTGCACTGAGGATTATACTGCCAGGTCGATCCTACGGTGAAGCGCAAGAAATGTTGCAGTGTCCTAGGCTGGATATACGTCGAGGTGAACTTTGCGAAAAGACGATGAAAAATATTGCATTGGGCAGTCGTCTTTCTTCCCATCTAACTCTCACCAGTGAAAACGAACATGTGTATAATTTAAAGAATTTTAAACAATTCGCTTCTTTTAAATGTAGAACTGATAGATTTGGTAATAGTTTTTTCCCTAGCATGATTGGTGTTTTAAACAAATAATTGTTCTTAGTTATAAGTTCTTATTTAATAATCTAATGATACATTGTAATATAGTTACTTTTAGTATTGTAATTCCCATTCAAATCAATTGTAAAACACATTGTAATTCATTTTCATGCGATGATGTGTTATTAAAATACCATTATTATTATACCATTATTATTAAATAGGGTAAGCTTGTTAAGAAAGATTTTACGAATTTTTTGTTTGGCGTTAGTATATGAAAAGCAAGATGGCAAAGCAGTAAGTCGCTTACAATCGCTATCTAAGCAATTAAAAAGAATGGAAGCACTGTACAGAAATGTTCGTTTACCAGAGTCAGTACGCGGGAAGGGGGGTTGAAGGTCATATGCGCAAGCTCTAGTCAGTGCCCGTTGTCGAATAGAAAATAAGAATTTAAACATTTGCTTAAATGAAGATGGAGCACTGGGATTTGTGAGAATGTTAATTAGTCAGAGAAGCTTCCTAAATTTAACAAGATCAAAAACTGGGATTATTCGTATCTGGGAAAAAAGAAGAACAGAAGGAGTAGAAAAGTCAGCGTCTAGAATAATACGTGCTGCACGCTTTTGCAGTCGAAAATGCGAAGTAAAAATGTTTTTGAGCAGTTTCCCCAAGTTACAGAGCAGTAGATAAGACTTGAATTAATGCAGGAGTTATAGAAACGAAGAGCACAGTCCTTAGTTAAAAAGGGTCTACTATTGATTGTTGAACACAAGTTGTCAATATGCTTGGTTCAATTTAAAAACTCGTCAAGCGTTAAACCCAACACTTTTCTTGCTTTACCTGTGCAAGTATGTTGCCATTAAGAGTAACTGATAGAGAACGGTCTGAAGTATTCTTAAGTTGTTGGGGAGAATGAATGAGCATGGTGTTGGTTTTCAATGTATTAGTCACCATTCGGGTTTTTTTTGCTTGCTATCTGTAGAATAATTTGTAACATTATACTATTGATAACGCCGTAGGAGACCAAACAATTGGTGATTTAGTTGATTGACGTAAGAAATGTATCGTATGTCAAAAATAATAGACTTTGAATTGATTGTCAGACTGAACGCACGAGAGAAAACCAGAAGAATTGTCATGTTATGTATTTTATCGTTTGAATCGTTTTAAATAAATATGTTTTAAAGTACGCGTGTGTGTTCTATTTCCGATGGTATTGTTCTGATAGTATACAGTCCCCACGAAGCGCAACTGTCTTGCGGTGTAAGACAGAAAAGTGCAACACTTGGTCCATGCGAACCGGATACATTTCGAAAGAAAGAATCGAGATAGATAGATAGATAGATAGATAGATAGATAGATACGACAATGCCGTTGGACGAGCTGACAAAGAAAAGAAGAACACGCGCAGCGCACAGAGGTTCAGCAACCAAGATAGGAACGAAGAGTAAAGAATGTTTAGTGAATGCGAGTGAAACGCCTAAGACGGACAAGAATGTGATGAAACAGCTGAGAGACACGCTGAGCGAGAAACTCGAAGCCTTGAAACTTTTAGATAACGAGATTGTCGAGGTTCTAAGTAATAGTGAAGCCGAAGACGCAGAACAACTGCTGGAAAAAGAAATTCAGGAGACAGATGATACGCGAGCTGAATTACAAAAAATAATTCTCGACGTGAATGACGCATTGTTCGAAGCCTTGCCGTCACTACCACAAGGTCAAAGTACACCATCGAATCTGAGTATGAACGCTACACCAAAACAGACTGTTCGCGCAAAGCTCCCAAAGTTAGAAGTCTAAAGATTTAATGGGAAAATTCAAGAGTGGCAAGAATTTTGGGACTCTTTTGATAGCTCGGTCAACCAGAATGACGCTCTATCAGAGGTAGATAAATTCGCGTATTTGAAAGGTCTACTGGTTGGTCCCGCGCAGACAACTATCGCAGGGTTCACGTTGACAGCAACGAACTATAAAGAAGCATTAGAACTCCTGAAGACACAATATGGGAAGAAAATGGCGATACAGAGAGCTCATATTCAAGCGTTGATGAACATAAAACCAGTATACAACGAGCGAGATGTGCGTCGACTACGGGAATTGTACCATGCCTGTGAGACAAACTGCCGAGGTCTGAAAACCCTGGGAGTGGATGAAAGTTCGTATGCCACGATTGTTGTTCCGGAAATACTCGACAAGCTGCCGGAATCCCTTCGTTTGACGATAACTCGTGGGGCAAGTGGATCAGACTTTCTAAGTTGGACGATGAAGGATATTTTAAAAGCACTGCTAGATGAAATTGAATTACGCGAAGCACACGAATCATTTACGACGAACACGTCAAAACAAGAACGAAGGAAACCACAGTTTCTAGATGGATCGGCGGCTGCTCTTGTAAATCATACTACCAGGGAAGGGAGGCCAAGATGCGTATATTGTTTACAAGAACATTTATCACAAGATTGCAAGAAAATTCAGGATGCTGCTGAACGTAAACAGATTCTTCGTAAGTACGGACGGTGTTTTATATGTTTAAAAAGAGGACATATTAGTAGTGATTGTTTAAATACGAGTAAATGTAGTGCATGCAGTAAACGACATCATAGTTCTATTTGTGAGAGCCATGCTAATGGGTCTATAACCGCTGACGTCGTTCATTCCACACATTCGTGCGTTGGGTCAGCAAATAGAGTAGCATTGCAGACAGCTCAGGCTTTGGTGATGGGAGGAAAGGAGAATGTGAGAGTGCGGGTTATGTTTGACTCAGGAAGTCAACGGTCATTCGTTACGGGCAAGGTAGCTCAGAAGGCAGGAGTGCCAGCAAAGAGGAAGGAATGGGTAGAAATTAGAACGTTCGGACAGGAGAAAGTTGAAGGGAAGTTGAGAGAAGTGTTTGAATTGAGTGTAGCCCCAGTACAGGGGGGAGAGAGTGTTAGCATTGAAGTTTATGGAGTAGACAGCATTTCACAGATTAGGAATGAGCATGTAGAGACAAGGAAGAAAGATTACCCACATTTGCAAGGGTTATGGTTTTCCGATGTTTGTAAGACCAAGAATGTGTTAGAAATAGAGTTACTAATTGGCGCAGATTATTTGTGGTTATTTCAAGAAGGGCGTACGGTTAGGGGCAAGAGTGATGAACCTGTTGCGGTACAAACCAAATTAGGATGGGTGTTGTCAGGTCCACTGAAGAGTAGCTCTGAAGATGATGATGGTCCTACATCGTGTGCACAGGTAAGTGTAAACCTTATTGGGCATGTAACTTCATCAAAGAATAGGTCCCTTGAAGCATGTGTTGAAAAATTATGGGATTATGAAACGCTAGGTATAAAGCATGAAGAGGAAGCTAGTGAGTTATTAAATTATTCAATACATTTCAATGGCCAAAGATATAGTGTAAGTTTACCTTGGAAGGAAGGGCATAGTTTATTGCCAACTAATTATAGCTGTAGTGTTCAGAGATTAAAGGGACAGCTTTTAAGATTAAAGAAGGAGCCAGAAGTTTTACAAGAGTATGATAGAGTAATTAAAGAACAGTTAGAGCTAGGTATTATAGAACCAGTTGTAGAGTTAGAGAGAGCTGATAAGATCCATTATCTACCACATCATGCTGTGGTTCGTAAAGATGCAAAGACCACTAAGGTCAGGGTTGTGTATGATGCATCGAGTAAAGAGACTAAGAAGGGTGTATCTTTAAATGACTGCTTGCATGTTGGGCCACCTCTATCCCCGTTGTTGTATCACATTATATTGCGTTTTAGAGAAAAGCGAATAGCACTTGTAGCAGATATAGAGGATTTTTTAAATATTGAAATTGATCCGTGTGATCGTGTCCACGGATCAATTTCAATATTTAAAAAATCCTTCTCTATATCTGCTACAAGTGCTATTCGCTTTTCTCTAAAACGCAATATAATGTGATACAACAACGGGAATAGAGGTGGCCCAACATGCAAGCAGTCATTTAAAGATACACCTGGGTGGGCAACATACATGAAGATGAGGTAAAGCCAGTAGAGTATAGGTTTTGTAGAGTTGTTTTTGGTGTGAACTGTTCACCATTTTTGCTGAATGCCACACTTCAACACCATCTTGACCGCTTTTCGAAGGGTAATCCTGAATTGACTCGAAAGTTGAAGGACGGCTTTTATGTTGATGATCTGGTAACTGGAGAACAAACCCCTGAGCATGCATTATCCTTATATGAGGCTTCTAGTAACAATTTAGCTTCTGGGGGGTTCAAGCTTAGGAAATGGCTCAGTAATAGTAAACTTGTATTAGAGAAAATCCAATCAAAGGAAGAAATCAAGCCTGATAGAGGAAACTTGGCATGAGAAGAAACATTTGCTAAGTCATTCCTTTGCATGACAGGCAAAAATGACACATCAGAGAAAGTCCTTGGGTTAGCTTGGAATTGTACAACTGATGAGTTTCAGTTTTTGTTTCAGGATTTAGTTGAGAAAGCAAAATCGCAACCTGTAACCAAACGCAATACTCTTAGAATATTAGCTGGGTTGTTTGATCCATTGGAAATTCTTAGCCCAATATGGTAGTAAGTATTAAGATGTTGTTTCAAGCACTGTGTTTGGACAAAGTAGATTGGGATTCTGAATTAAAAGGACAATATTTGAAGCAATGGTTAGGTTGGGTTCATGATCTTGAAGTTGTAGGTCAAATTATGATACCAAGGTGTGTGTATGGAAATCTAATTGGAAAACCCAAATGTTCATTACATGGGTTTGGTGATGCTAGTTTGAAAGCCTATTGTGCAGTTGTGTATTATGTCTGTGATTTAAATGGTAATTATCATGTTGAACTCCTTACTTCAAAGACTAGGGTAGCCCCAATTAAAGCACAAACTATTCCTAGGTTAGAACTGATGTCTGGATTAATTCTAGCTAGGCTGATGGATACAGTTACATCAGCACTTTCAGTTGAGGTCGAGATAAGCAACACCTACTATTGGCTTGACAGCAAGACAGCACTGTGCTGGATCAATAACCAGGGCGAGTGGAAACAGTTCGTCAGACATAGGGTTAACGAAATTTTAAGACTGAGCAAAAAGGAAGACTGGGGACATTGCCCTAGCCTAGAAAACCCCGCAGACCTAGGATCACGAGGGGTATCCCCATCCAGATTGAAGGAGAGTGCACTTTGGTGGATGGGTCCCAATTGGTTGTTAGGTCCACAAGTAGACTGGCCTGTTGCTACAGAAATTACAGAAACAGAAGATAGTTTGAAGGAAGTTAAGAAGTCGGTCACAATGACAGTGCAGGTTGATAGTGAATCAGCCAGCTTAGAGAATGTAATTGATGTTAAGGCATATACTAAGCTTAATAGGTTAATAAGGGTAACATCTTGGGTAATGAGATTTGTGCAGAATGTAAAGGCAAAATCACAAGATAGGGAAATTTATTTAGGTAATTTGACAGTAGAGGAGATAAGATATGCAGAGAGTGCATTGATTAAGGATGCTCAAGTCAGTTTGAGGAATAAGAAAGATTTCCCGCATTTAGTAAAACAGTTAGGTTTGGTTGATAGAAATGGGATTTTAAAATGTAAAGGTAGGTTCTCTAATTCAGATTTAGAAGAAGCAGCTAAGGAACCAATTAGTCTCCCGAAGGAGCATTGGCTAACAGAGTTGATTATATCCGCATGCCATAAACGAGTTCATCATTGCGGGCTCAGAGCTACTCTGGCAGAATTGAGAGGTAAGTATTGGGTGCCACGAGGACGTCAAATAGTGAAGAAGGTCATCGGTAAGTGTGTTGTCTCTAAGAGACATGGGGGTAAGCCTTATGGAAAACCTGATGAGGCAGATTTACCGGACTTCAGGGTGCGGGAGTCGCCACCATTTGCTAAAGTTGGGGTTGACTTTGCTGGTCCGTTGTATGCAAAGGAGGGTGGTAAAATGGTGAAGGTGTACATAGCGTTGTTCACGTGTTGTGTCACGAGGGCAGTTCACTTGGATTTGGTAAGAAATCTTAGTGCGCCTAGTTTTTTGAACTGTTTGAGGAGATTTTCAAGCAGGCGAGGGGCACCGACGATTATTGTTTCAGACAATGCTAAAACTTTTAAGGCAGCGCAGAAAGCAGTGAAGAAGTTGTACGAGAGCGGGAATGTGAGAGCTCATATGCAAGATAATTGTGTGAAATGGCAGTTTAATTTAGAGAGAGCGCCTTGGTGGGGAGGATTCTTTGAAAGGTTGGTTGGTTTGGTGAAGAGGTGTTTACGTAAGGTGCTGGGGAATGCCAAGTTGACATTCGAAGAACTGTTGACAACTTCAGTTGAGGTTGAAGGCACGTTGAATTCGAGACCGTTAACCTACATTTACGATGAGGTAATAGACGTAGGAGAGCAGCAGCTTTGGATGCACGTTGGAGAACACAAGTCATGTTTGACCCTTACAGGCTCAAAGGGGGAGTGTGTAGAATAATTTGTAACATTATACTATTGATAACGCCGTAGGAGACCAAACAATGGGTGATTTAGTCGATTGACGTAAGAAATGTATCGTATGTCAAAAATAATAGACTTTGAATTGATTGTCAGACTGAACGCACGAGAGAAAACCAGAAGGATTGTCATGTTATGTATTTATCGTTTGAATCGTTTTAAATAAATATGTTTTAAAGTACGCGTGTGTGTTCTATTTCCGATGGTATTGTTCTGATAGCATTCAGTCCCCACGAAGCGCAACTGTCTTGCGGTGTAAGACAGAAAAGTGCAACACTGCTATCCTTGCTGGACAAAAATACCCTTGTCTAATGCTTGTTGTTTTATGATTAACTCTATTGATAAATTCAAAATGTGCCGCGAATTTATCATAATGATAAATTCGGACGTGTTTAAGAATTTACTCATATAGCAAATTCAAAGGTGGAGTTCATGTTGGGAAAATCGCTACTACGCCCTCAATATCAGTCCAATTTTAATCAAATTTTCATCATATGTTCGCCAGTGCATGCAAAATATAGTAAAGTTGTAAAATTGACAAACAATAAAATAATGTAAGAATTATCCAGGAACCGTTATGCAGGTACCGTTACGAACTATTCAGGTACCGTTACGCTTTTGAGTTGTGCTTCTGCCGGTTTTAATTTTAAAACTCTTTAACGCCACAGCCCATGTCGCGTCGATCCTCAGCGATCGACGGCTATAAATTTCATACCTTCGGTTCAGTGCATGCTATGAAGACAGAAATACCACCAATCGATTCAGAAATAAGAGATATACTAGTTCCAAACGATAGTTATAGTCATTATTAACATTGTAACGATTTATGGGCCTTTGAAAGTCAAACACGATAATATTGTATCAAATTACGCAATTGTCTGAGCAAAATATAGACTAGCCATACCTTTCGCTGAAAATAACTTCGGCCCCTTTGCACATATAGTCATGTAATAGTCTTGTTCGAATCCCCATCAAAAACACTATTTAGAGTGTTATTTGCAAGCCTGTATCATCAAATCTGTATCTTTTATCAATATATTGCGGTGCCCGTGCCATTTTTGGCACCGCATTATATTCTGCCTGTGAGTTTGTTAGTTTGTCCGTTTGTTTGTTTGTTAGTTTGTTCGCATCAATACGTTTCCTTAATATCCTACCAAAAATTCCTTGCACGTGCTCAGAATTTATTAATTATTATTAATCGTGTACACTCATGATGATCGACAGTTTGCTCAGCTTTATCTCTGGTTTTATGCGTCAAACAAGGACAAAAATGCCACTGTTCGAATCAGCGTGAAAAGTTGTGTTTACGGATGGAAAATTGATTTCAAAATTGACTTCTGTTCTAGGTATTTGTCGCCTTTGAAAGACAAAAGCCGCTCAAAATAATCCTTCACGTTTTCCGAATTCCTTTTTTCGAGGAAAGTTTTCTTTCGAATTACAACACGAACTCTCACGATTGACATTTTGCTGCGTCTTATCTCTGGTTTTATGCGCCCAATAAGGACAAAAATACCACCGTTCGATTCAGTGTAAGAAATTATACTCACAGATGTCAAATGTATTACAAAACTACAGTATTCTAGCGATTTATGGCCTTTGAAAGACAAGCGAAATTGCATTGTTCACAAATCGCTCAAAATTATTAAACATAATTAAAAGTGCAATACATTTGACCTTGATAACTTTCGTATTGTTGGTTTTCTCTTTTTCGGCCGTATACCAGTGGATTTGGCTCACTTTTCTCTTTATTTTGTTAGTAGTTTGAGCCCAAAATATTATATTTTGAAGCTTTTAATGTGCAGTTTTAATAAGCGAAATTGTATTGTTTACAAATCGCTCAAAATTACTAAACTAATTAAAAATGCAGTCCGTTTGATCCTTGATAACTTCGGAATTGTTGGGTTTTCTTGTTTTCGGCTGTATGCCAGTGGATTCGTATCACTTTGCTCTTCATTTTGATAGTATTTTGAGACCAAAATATTTAATTTTGAAGGCTTTCCCGATCGAGGAGCTTTGAGTTGGAGTACCTACCTAATCATATTATTGATCAAGCATTAATAGAAGATGTCTCTGTCAACTCCTTTAAGAATGTCATAAAACGTATGTCCTAATCCATTGGTCCTAATCTATAGTGTAATTAATTGCATCCATGTAAATAGTCTATGTAAGTGGCCTGTTTTTCTCGCTTTTAGATTTCCTTTTTTTTTCTCTCCAATTATGTAAATATTTTAATGAACTCACGGCCCTTTGAAAAACAGATGTACTTCTGAAAGGCTACCGTGATTGAATAATATTATATGGAAACTTTATTAAATGTTTTTCTTTACATACATATACAATCGTAAATCTCTCTCATAAAGGTAACTTACGGTTGGCTATTTGAATCACAATTTTTTCTAAACTAAAATAACAGAACAAAGTGCATGCAATATATATATATATACAATGAGATAAGTCAAATTGTT